ACCGATGGACAGAGGCGGAAGCAGAAGTCGCAGCTGGGGTCGCGAAATGTCTCAAACAATGCCAGGCCATGAGCTATCTTTTTGGCCCACCCAGTGGGTGAGCCAAACATCCCGAAATGGACCTGATGATTGTTCTTTGTGGGGACAATTGCATGAGCGATGTGGCGATGTGCTCCAACTCTTCAAGGAGTCAAGAGGAGTCAATCCATGATGACTTCATATGCAAAGCGGCCAGGTACAAAACCTTATTGGTCAAACAGGAATGCGGAATGACCAAAGACATTTTCCCTGGGACACGGTTCTGGCCTCACTGTTTAAAGGTTCAGCAGATCTGAAACGCTGAACGGTCATCAATTCCCAGTTGCCCCAAGCAGGGGTACTTCTCCCTTTTTGTTCCACTTCCCCATTTCAAGCAGGGGTGGGTCAGAAAGAAAAAAACTCCAACATCCGTTGATCCTCTTAGTCTTGATCCGGCTAAATACTTTGACTTCATCACCATCTGGCGAGTTCAGTGTTTCCACGACCCCAGCTTTGAGCTGGGCTCGGAAGGGCTCTGCTCACCAGAACCAGTCGTCCAAGCTTCCGAATTCCTCAGATGTTCCGAAGTCTCCGGATGTTGGTCTCAACCCTACGAATAACATCATTTGTCTCAACCTTGTTTCCTTGGACCCTACGAATTCCGGAGACCCTACTAACAACATATTTGATTTCAAGGAAACAAAGTATACCAATAACAACTATATATACCACCCAGGATTGCAAAAGGACACGTCTTGAGCCAAAAACGGGAGTGCAAAATGCGGACCCACTGATTCCCACACAAAAGAAAAAGAGTGATCCCTGAGTTCCTCCCAAGCTTCCCAGAAGAACAAGAAGTGAATATCCGGTGGCTCAAGCTCCATGACCTTTCCCTTTCGATTTAGATCGGTCGCTCCAACCTTCTTAGCCTCCGGTGAAGCCAATAGCCGCGCTGCTTCTGGGTCACTGCTTTTGATGCCATTGTTGAGGGTGAGGCGCATGACGTCCAACACGGTCATGGCTTTTGACAGGGTCCTGCATAGATCGCGGAAATGAGCATGTCACACTTCATCAGCAGAATTCAGGGATCATCAAACGATTGCTTCCATGATTCACGCTACAGGTGCCAATGGGCATCCGAATCCGGCCGAATCCGATTGAAACGCACCCCAAAAAACCAGGAACCAAGGATCCAAGGAACAACATTGCTGATGCAACTCGCACAACCAAACCCACGTGTTTCAGTGTATATCCATGCATATCCCAATACAGGATATTGGGTGACTGGGACATGAATAAGGGGAGCGACCCCTTGTTTGCACAAGTCGGCCAATGGAATAGGTCCAAGGAAAAGCCGGTTCACCTAGCCCTCTGTTGGACATTTGGATGCAGCGCAGAAAGCATCGGCCAGTGAACTTTTTATGGGTTGATTAGTGATCGTTTTTGCATGCGTGACTTATGCCCCTGCGTCCTGATTCCTTCAGGACCACGAGGGCCGGGAGCGCAAGAGAATCGCAAACACGTGCCGGCCGGCAAGATCTCCGCCGTGAAAGGCAAGGCCATGCTGCCTTTCTCGAAGGTCTCCGGCGCAGGACAATCGAAAGGCCAAGTAACGAACTGCTGATAGCCAAAACTGTTAAGTGATCTTTGCAAGGCTGCATGTCCCAGTTTCAGAGCCATCATCTCCAGGTCCTCTCGACTGAACGTCTCCTGGTATGCGAAAGTCCAAACAACACCCGAAAACTATAAAACTTCCATCGTTCCTATTGAATGAGTCGGGAGTCTAGGAACGACCTTACTCATGTATTTTGGGAACATGCTGCGCATAACCGTTAAGCCTAGTGAAATTCATACATCTGAAGGCGCCAAGTCTCCGAGAAGGGTGTGCCATCCTCCTGCACCAAGCCGAAGAACTTCAGCCACGTCTCCAGCCACACACTGGTGCTGCTGACCACGGCCGTCACCTCCTCCACCGACACCGCCCCATCCGTCAAGGGTGATCCATCGTGAAGCATCAGCCGGCAATGCGCACCCATTGCAGCTGCAACCTGGTGATGGAACAACTCGTAAACGGTCCATGCATTTCTACGGCTGCTTGCTTGCAGCCATGACAAACTGTCATCCTTGCTCAATTGCCAGGAACCGAATTATATATATATATATATGTGTGTGGACATTAAGAGAACACAATGCGAGATGTGATGGAGGTGCCTCCAATGAGGTTTGTTTGCAATGCCTTTATCAACAAATGCCAATCCTTCGAGTCAACAACGCCCGCTGGCCTCTCGAGAAAGTTCTTCAACACTCAGCACCTCTGTGCGGTTCATGACTTCTTCACCACTCAAGTTGAATACGCGCACCATCACGTGGTCAAGTGGAGGCTTGAAAGGCGCAACAAAGGAGCTATCTCCGGTGGTCAGTGTGCTTCAGCCAAAATGCTCTGCAAGACTGTTGTATCATGTACAGCCCACAAAGCATGCACGTCGGCAGTGTTTGCAAGCCAACTCTTTGTCTTGGTGTCTCGCGATTTGACTCTTGATTATCTACATATACTTATATATTGCAATATGTACATGCATGATCATGCATGTATAGGTCCACTTCATGCCACAAAGTGCGGGATCTTCAATGTGCCAACCACCTGTTGGACAAAACAGCGTACGAGTACATCGCACACTCTTCGCACATCATAGAGTGAGTCGGGACACATCTCTGCAAACCATCGGGTCTTTCGGCTTTTTCAATAGGATAGGTTATTACATATATTATCTATAAGTTTATATATAATATTAATAGACGTGCCGGGCCCCCCCTCCGGAAGCTAGGCTTTCAGAGTTTGTATCCAGATGGTTGGGCAAACAGCTAAAGATGTGTGGCGGGTTTGCACATCGTATCCAAACAAATCCAATTGTCTAAGCAGGGAAGCAAGCTGAACACCAAAACATGGTCAATTATCAA